GCCGGCTGCCCCCCGCAGCCCGTGAGCCAGGCGGCAGGGTTGCTCCTGCCCATGCTCCCAATGCCCCCGCTGCATGGCCAGGGGACTAAAGCCACGGCACCTAGAAGAAAAAGCCTAGTGACACTGGTGCCTGGGTCCCCTCCTGACACGAGAGTCCGTGGGGGGCCCGCACATGGGCATGGGGAGGGAAGGAGAAGGGGACTTGTCCCTGCTGGAGCAGCTCCTGGGCAGGGCAGGGAACCACGAGCCGGCTGGGACTGCACGTGCTGCGTGGTTGGGGCAAATCCTGCTGGCCAAGTACAGCAATTTCATGTGTGGGCTTTGGGGCCAGAGCGGATGCTTTCCTGTATGGGATGTTGCTCTCTGTCTGCTCAGATTTGGAAGTGGTCACAGTCACTGAGAAAGCAACTCAGGCCATCTGTCAGCAGCTGTGCTCAGACCAACCCTGGTCATCTTTGCTGTCATAAAGGTGTCACCAAATGAGGAGGAGCAGCAATAAGCCTGGCAGGACCTGGGCACAGATCAGCACTGGATTCCCTCGTGCAGCAGGAGATCCCCTGACACAGAAGTGTGGGACCTCCTGTATCCAAAATGCACCCACCTGTGCTCCGAGGGCCCCACAGATGCTGCCGTTCCTGGGAGGGGATCTTGCATCTAGGAGGTTCTCTCTGCAGGGTGATGGAGGTGCTGTCTGGCCTCATATTGCTGGCTCTGAAACATAAAAATCACAGCGTTTCAGTGCTAGGAAAACTGCACTTCTGAGCACAGGGAGGAAGAGAGAGAAGGTCCCTGTGTCCTGTCCCTGCTGTCGCAGCACTGTGCCATAACCCCCTGTGTTTTAGCCTCTCCCCATCCCCACTGGAGACTGAGGTTTCTTTACCTTCGTTACTCCTATGGGAGCATGTGGCACCTCTCTCCTCTCCTGGTTTCAGATGCTATTTGCAGCTTGTTTTTTTCCCCTATGTCATGTCTTGCTTACACCCGATTACTCTCCTGGTCCTTCAGCTTCAATAGCTCCTCTCCTCTGCAGGGGGAGACGATTTCCCAGGAAAAGCCACTTCTCAGGGCAGTGCTGGACACTTCCTTCCCTCTGAGAGTTTGCTCTGCTAATTCCCTGCTGCTTGCAGCCTCTTATCTGCTGCCAGAGGCACACGTAGGGCCAGCTTTGGGCCACCATGCCTGCTCCAAAATTTCCTCAGGCAGAATCATGACGCTCTGCCCCTACCTGGGCACGTTCCCACGTAGCCCTTAGAGAATGGCACCAGTGTGCGGTGCCACCGACAGCAGTGGCGGCTCTGCTGGCCTCTGTGCAGCCTTCCTCCCCCGAGCATCGTCGCTGGGCTGGGACAGAGCCGGGCACCAATCTGCCTCTCCCCAGCACCCTGGGCCTTGGGCCAGGGAGGCCAAGGACCGTTTTTGCTTCTGCTGCCAGCCCATTCAGAGGCTGGGAGAAGCCAGGCAAGGGACTTTCAAGGCATCCAAGCTCTTTGTCTTAAACAGGGAGGGAAAAAGCCTCTGGGGCTTTGAGGAATCGATTCCCATGGTGTGCGCACAAGTGCACGGTCCCCACCTGCCACCCCCGTCCCCTGCTGCTGTCCCTCAGCTTTATTGCAGTAGGCAGCAGTGAAAGGGGGTCCCATGTCCCCTCCAAATGGGTGGATGACGCCCTGCAGCCCAGGGTGCTCCAGGGGCAGTGTGCTGGGGCAGGTGGCTAACACCGGGTAGTCCCCGTGCGGGGGGTCCTGCCCGGTGCTGGGCTGTGCCTGGCGGCCCTGGGGCTGTGAAGTTTGTGCCCAGCTGTGCGCTGCCAGCCATCACCCCGAGGGCCAAGCCAGACCACAGCATCCGTCCCATCGCAGCTGTACCCACCTGGACCCACTCGGCTCTGCCCTCCGAGCTGCTGCCAGCCACTAATGCCCCCACTTAATTCCAATGCCCCCACTTAATTGAAGTGAAAAGTGCAGGCAAATATTCATTTCCCCTAGAAAGGGCTCTGTTTGCTTTCTCAGCAGTGGGGCCGCTCTGGGGCAGAGCCCTGTAGAGCACCTTCGCAGGAGGGCTGCGAGGCGTCGCTGTGCCTCTCCTGCCGTGCTCGCTGCCACCACGGCCGGCATCGCCACTCCCACGAGGCTCAGAGCCTCCCGGGAAAGAGAGGACACCCCACTGGCTGGGTTTGGCCCCTCGGCACGGCACTGAGCTTGGCTTGGCATCCTGCCATGGGTAAGTCGTCTCAGTGCCTTAGTTTCCCATGGGGACATGTGGGCTGGAGGAGATGGGTGAGCGCTGCTGCTATGTGCCCTGGCATCAGGAAGGTGTTTTGGGGTGCAGGACTCTCAGGCAGGAGTCCCTGCGCTGGAGATCCCTGGATCCAGACTGCTCCTCGCACCCCGGCCGTATGCACTGGGCACACCAGGGCAGCGAGTTGTGCTGGGGCTGAGCCCAGGCGTGAGCTGGCAGCACGGGCACAGGAGCCAAACAGCCATGCCCAGATCCATCACCCATCAAGGATGCAGGTCTCTCCCTGCCTCTTCTCCAAGATCCCTGTCCTGTTCCCCCCAAGATCCACTCGACTTCAGCCTGCCGGATGCTCTCCCGGCTCTGTCCTGCCCAACTCCACCAAACACCTTGTGCACAGTGAGGACAACGCTGGGACCGGCCCAACCAAGAAGTGTCACTGGGATGTAACAGCCTGGTGAGGTCACAGGCCAGGGTCCCCTGGCCCTCTCGGTCCCGCCAGCCCCTTGCAGCACTGCTGCGGTGGACGGATGGGGCGAGAGGCTGGACGCACGGAGCCGCGGCGTGTGTGTGTGTGTGCACAGGTCTGAATTTGGAGCCGAGGTGCTGCGGGCTCGCAGTGCCCTCTTGCGTCGCAGGGGAAGGCAGTGCAACGCCCAGCCTCCTCCCGCCGTACCCCGACCCCCCTTCCCAGCCCAGGCACAGCCTGTTCACGAATATCTGTTCCCTTCGGCGCGTCCCTGCCTCCTTCCCTCTCACACACGCGCCGCAATGGAGCCGCGGCCCCGGCTGCCTCCCCATCACCACCTCCTCCCAAACTCCTAGAGGGAGGCTGGGGAAGGCTGGAGGACCCAGACCCTTGCTGAGCAAGGTGAGTCGCTGCCTTGCAGCCAACCCTCAGCCCGAGTGGCGCTCACTGCCAGGACGCGGGGAGGAGGGATGGAGCCGGGGGGGCTGGTGGAGTGCGGTGTGGGACACGCCGGGGCTGGCGATGAGCATCAGAGGCGGATGAGCATCACGGCAAAGCGGCCGCGCACGGGATCCAGGCTCGGAGACGCGAACGGGAGCCCACCTGCTTCTCCAGCTTGGAGTCGGGCTGAAACTGGTAAAACACACGTTGTGGGCGAGAGGAGCTGTGGCTGGAGCGGGGACACACAGCCCTGCCGCGCACTGGGGAAAGCCTGTGTGTGGCCACCCCACAGGGCTGTCGCCTTGCAACCGGTGGATGTGGCTGCACATCTGGAAGCTGGGAGCCCCTGGGAAGCAGCTCGGTCCATCTGCACCTTCCCGCAGAGCCGCTCCGAGTGCGGACAACTCCGCGCTGCCCCGGCCCCTGAGCCGAGCGCTGTCAGGACGGCAGCAGGGCTGATCGATGGCTTACTCACCACGGAGGCCACGTAAATGGCAAATCACTGCGTTGCGAAGGCTGCTGATGGGGATGGAGGCGGCCGCGCTGCCCTCCCCCGGGCCTCTAACAGAGTCAATGGAGTTTATTACTTTAACGTACTTCCTCTCTCTCTCACCTTCTGAGGAGCATCTTTTCTGCAGCGCTGCTTTCCAAGCGAGGAGCCAGCCTCCAGCAGAGGTAGGGTCTCAGCACCATGTGATCCTTGCCCATTTCTCCAAGGGTGGGAGAGGAAGCCCCCAAGACCCTCCTTGCTCACCCGCAAGGAACCCCTCTGTCAGAGGATGAGCAGGAGAAGGTGGATAAGGGCAGCCAGTTTTTCAGAGCCGAGCTCCAAGGGGAGAGCAGAGGCAGGATTTTATTAGCCTGCCTGCTAAGATAGCAGAGCCTCCCTCCCCTCCCTCGCTCCCTCCCCATCCCAACCTCACCCAGCGCAGGAGAGCACTGCAGTGGCAGGACCTCACCCTTCGTCCAGAGCTTCCTAATAAAACGTAAGTCCTTCCCGGGGAGGAAGAGAAATTTTCCCCACCGCTGTTTTACAGTCGCCCCATTGGCCCCTCCGCACAGCTGGCAGAGCGCAATCGTGCTGCGTGCCTCAGGGCTGGCTTTGGGGCTGTGTCCTGCCTTGCTTTGAGGGGGGACAACCCACCGAGGTCTCCCTGACAGCAGGGTGAGGGGGTGGAGGTGGGTCGGGGAGCTGCCAGGGCTGTTTGCACGCATGAGATGGGGCTGGGGAGCTTGGGAGCCTAAAGGGAAACTTTTGGGAGCCTTTGAAGGGCTCTCCTAGAAGAAGAGATTTGGTTGGGGCAGGATGGGGGGGTCCTTCCCATGAGCACCCTGCCCTGAGGGTAGATGAGCCGCATCCGCCCCGTTAAAAGGGAAGGGGAGCAGAGGGCTCGGGTGCAGCAGAGGGGCTGGGAGAGCACCTCTCACACCACCCCGTCTCTCTGCAGCCATGAATCTCTACAGCAACTGCTCCAGCCCTGAGTTCCCCCTGCCCCAGAGAGACTTTCCCGTGGAGCCCATCAGCCCAGATTTCTGCAACAGGACTCACCCGGTGGCCCTGTTCGACCCCAAAGATGCAAACCTGACGGAGGAGCAGTTGCGGAATAAGTACCTGGGGCCTCGGCGGTCCAGCTTCTTCGTCCCCGTCTGTGCCATCTACCTGCTGATCTTCGTAGTGGGGGCCGTGGGCAACACGCTCACCTGCGTCGTCATCCTCCGGCACAGGTTCATGAGGACGCCCACCAACTACTACCTCTTCAGCCTGGCCATCTCTGACCTGCTTGTTCTCCTGTTGGGGATGCCGCTGGAGCTGTACGACATGTGGAGCAACTACCCCTTCCTCCTGGGTGCCAGCGGCTGCTATTTCAAGACGCTGCTCTTCGAGGCCGTCTGCTTCGCCTCCATCCTCAACGTTACAGCCCTGAGCGTGGAGCGCTACATCGCCGTGGTCCATCCGCTCAAGGCCAAGTACGTGGTGACCAGAAACCATGCCAAGAGAGTCATCATCACCATCTGGGTCATGTCGGTCATCTGCTCCATCCCCAACACCAGCCTCCACGGGCTGCAGCCTCTCTATGTGCCGGGCCGGGGGCGCGTGCCGGATTCAGAGATCTGCACCTTGGTGAAGCCACGCTTGACTTACAACCTTATCATCCAGATCACCACCATCCTCTTCTTCTTCTTGCCCATGGGGACCATCAGCATCCTGTACCTGCTCATTGGCCTGCAGCTCAAGAAAGAAAAGATGCTCCAGGCCTTGGGAGCCAAGTCAGGGGGTGGCTGCGACTACCACAACACCCGGGGGCACAAAAAAGTCAAGAGGATGCAGGTCACGAAGATGCTGTGTGAGTCCCAGGCAGGAGATGGGGAGAGCTGCTGGGTGTTTCCCAAGGCTGCTTTGGGAGGGGGATGAAGGGAAACTGAGGCACGGCCAATCTGGAGCTGCTGAGGATGGGCCATCCGGGAGGAAGGGTGCGTGGCTTACAGGGTGCAGGAATAAAGGCAGATCTGGTGGCTCCAGTCCAGCGATGGGGCTTGCTCGTGACAGCTCCCCCCGCCGCCGGCTGTGAGATCTCTCCTCCTCCAGGAACGTGCTGGATGAGAGCCTGGGAGCAAAGGGAAAGGCGCAGGGCTGGTGGGAGGGAGCCCATCTTCCCGGCCTGGGCTGTGCGTGCAGATCTGCACCCGGCCCCAGAGCCCTGGGAGTGCTGGTGGTCTGTGCAGGGAGCATTTCCCAGCAAGGAGGCCAGTTCTCACCCAGATCTGTTGCCGTTGCCACCATCCCCAGGCAATGATGCAATGACCCAAGGCCTGGCAGGAGCATCCCTCCATCCTACCTCCCTGCACCCTTCCTCGCACTCTCTAGCCACGGTCCCCAGCAGCCTCTGGCCCCTTTCCCAGCAGTGGGAGCTGGCCACCCTTGGGTATCTGTTTCTTCCTGACATGCTGACCTCTACATGCTCCTGGCCCCCGTGACGGCACAGCGATGGCGGGTTGCCCAGCCCAGGCCTTTGACGGGGCCAGGGCTGCTTCTCAGCCATGTCTCAGACAGACATTAACTTCCCTCTGGCCTCCCTTGGCACCGGGGCTGGGAGAGGGGCGAGGAGGGGCCTGTCCCCCATGGAGACACAGAGCGGCGTGGGTATGACGGGGACCCCAGGACTGCCTGCACACGCACCCACATCCCTGTGCATCGGCAGAGCTGGGTTAGAAAAGAAGCAGGAGCCCAAGGAGAGGGCTCAAACAGCTCTTGCTACCTGGATTGAACCAGCAGCGATTCCTCGGGGCCGTTCCTGGGCCTGGCTGATGGTTTCCTGGTCAGCAGCGAGCGGTTTTGGGGCTGGGGCTGGTGCCTGTGCCCACACGGGACATCTCCCCGCGTGCCGAGTGGCCCCACGGTTGTGCACTCGTGGCCTCCCCACTACCGGTGCCCACCCTGGCTGTCAGCCAAGGAGGCCGCAGAGGCACGTGGTGGAGCAGTGCCTGAAGCAGCCCTGGCAGGAGATGGTGGGAGAGAGAGATCCTAACCAGACTTCGCAGTCTCTCCGCCACCCCGGGGCCCTGGCAGCAAGTCAACAAGCTAGAGGAGAAATCAGCTGAGGGGCCCTTTGCAGCTCTCCCTTCCTCTCTCCGCCACTTTTTGGGTGTCCTTTGCTATGGCCGAGGCCAAAATGGGACAGTATGGCACCTGGTGCTTCTGCTCTCTGAATGGTGGCCAGGGCCAGCGCCTTTGGGCTAGCACGGGTCTCTCTAACATGGGTCTTTGCTGCACCCCAGAGATAGCTGTATTTCCATCCCCTTGTCCATCCATACTTTCACCTCAAATCCCTTCGGCAACAAGCCGAGGTCCAGGCAGACTGCTTCCTGTCTGAGGGAGATGTGGCTGAATCTCACAATCCCACGGTCAGCCCCTGACAAAGGTGTGGCACCAGTGTTTGGGGCTGTGGGGCCGGTGTTGGGAGAGAGCAGCCCCATAACACAGGCCCCTTGGCTCCCTGCAGTTGTGCTCGTGGTGGTGTTTGGGATCTGCTGGGCACCCTTCCACACCGACCGCCTCGTCTGGAGCTTCATCTCCACCTGGACCAGCCACATGCTCTACATGTTCCAGTATGTCCACATCATCTCGGGCGTCTTCTTCTACCTGAGCTCAGCAGCCAACCCCATCCTCTACAACCTGATGTCCACCCGCTTCCGGGAGATGTTCAAGGAGGTGATGTGCCACCCTGGCCACCGCGCACCAGGCTCCCGGAAATACTCGCCCAGCATCACTCATGCCACCACCCGCAGCACTGAGTGCGAGCACATGCCTGGTGCCAACGGCCTGCCCCTCTCTGACGCCGAGGAGTATGAGATGGAGGAGGTGGAGGGAGGCCAGGCTGGCGTACACAAGACATCCCTCTGCTGAAGCACGGGAGGATGCAGAGGGACCAGGACCAGCTTTCCCCACCACCAGCATCCATCCCCCCTCGGCATCACTGCAGCCAGGCAGAGCCCTGCGGGGAGGGGGGCAAGCAGGAGAGATGGAGGGCCCCCGTCTCTCCATGCCATCCTGCTGGGATTTGAACGCTGCCAGGCTGGTCTCAGCACTGCAGCACCAGCTGTCCCTCACCACGCAGAGCCCCGGTTACATTGCACCCTCTGGTCTAGGCACTGGCCAAGGGCAGGCAGCTGTCAGGGAGCTGGGACAGCTGCCTGCCTCATCAGGGATTTGCCAGCAATGCCCCAAAACTGCCCCAGCACCCCCCGACCTAGCAGGGTGAGCCTGTGAGCACAGGTGGCAGGAGTGTCATGCGGCCCTATTTTGGGACGTCATGCCGGGTGGGGACCTGGAGAGGTGCTTGCACTTGGGCTGAGGTCTGCTGGGTTGGGAGAGGGGTTCACACCCGATAGAGCTGGAAAAAAAAGAGGCTTTAGGGTGCCCTTTTCCCTTGATACCTTTCCAGGGCCCTCGCATGGATATGCCCCGGATTGTCTTGCACCTCCTGTTGGTCCTGCTGTGAGCGGGGAACGGAGTCTCGGCTTTAAGAAAAAGGCCAGGTTCTGCCTCTTGGTCTCTGGCCTCAGGGTTGGTTTACGGCTCATTTCTCCCAGCTTTTTTCTAGTGTCTTCATTCCACTGAGTGCAGGAGAAGGAGAGTGGCCGTTCTCTCCTCCGCGCAGGAGGCCGGGAGCTGGAGCCCATGGGAGAAAATAACCTGAAGCAGGAGGGTTGGCAGAGCTGAGCTCTGCCTCGCAGCTCCTCAACAGCAGCAGCAGGCTGTCTCCAGCGTGGAGGAACATCTCTGTCCCTTGCCGATGCAGAGTCCGTCCCGCTGTGCTGAGGTTCTGCAAGATCACTTGCTTCCCCCTACAGACGCGGGAGCCTGGCCTGGCACTGGGGAGGTGGTGGGATGCCTTTTGTCCCCGGCGCAGGCTGATGCTGCGTGCCCCTGGCTCCCTCCTCTTCCTCAGCTCAGTGCAGCCTGCCGTGCCCTTGACGCAGGGGAAGTGGGGAGCCCTCCTCCATCTCCGGTGTGCGTGAGCTGATCATCACTCAAGAATTAAAAATCAAAGCTGTTCCCAGGATTTGTGCTCTGATTATGTCTCTCGGGACTCAGCTCTCCTCCCAGCGCAGCATTGAACCTCAACGATCTTCACCGGGGTGTCATGAGCAGGCCACGGGAAGGGGCAAGAGGCACCCATAGGTGTCTCTTTACCTCTCCCACTGCCGTGTCTCTCTCTGAGGCGTTTCTGCTCTGAGGAAAGTCGGCACCGGTCTTGGGTACGGGGTTTGCTGCCTCCCTGGGTGGCCACAGCTGCGAGCGCTCAGGAAAGGCATGCCCTGCTCCCGCGCCCCACGCCGCGTGCAGGGTGTTGAGCAGGAGGCACCCATGCTTTCCACCCGCAGCGCTGCATGGGCAGAGCTGGGCCTCAGGCCAGTGCGGAGGCGAGGCAGCGCTTGCCCGCATCCCGGCCAGCGCCTCCAGAGCGCTGCCGATCAATCTGTCCCCAGGCACGCTGCTCGGGAAATGTCACAAAAATGCCACGGAGTGCGGGCTGGCTGGTCCCTCTCCCCCGAGCTGGCAGAGCCGATTGATTTGCTGTCTGAGATCGATGCTGCCGATTTCCTAGCGTGCACCAGGCCCTCTCACAGGATGAACAGCTCAGGCTCCAAAATGCCACCCGAGGGGCTGTCAGAGCAGTTTAAGCTGTCATCTCGCATGATTTTTGCAGTTCCAGCTGCCCTCTGGCCAGCTTGGAGAGGCTTCAAGTGGCAGTGCCTCTTGGCAGCTTGCATATGTCAACAGTGCTCTTCTGGGGTCTTGAGCAGAAAAAGCCAAGAAAAAGTCAAGCGCAAAGCATCAGTGAGAGCCCTGCTGCCTGCTGACGCTCCACTCAGCCCCGCTAAGCACAGTGTGGACACTCGGGGCTCCAGCCTCGCAGGAGGCCAGCAATGGAGAACATGCAGGACGTGGGTCTTGCAAACCCAACTCTGGGGGGACCGTGGCTGGCTCCCCCCTTGAACTCCCCTTCCTCCCAGTGAGAGCTGCAACACAGACCTCCGGAGCAGGGTCTGCCGTGGGCAAAGACCTTTCCTTCAGGTCCTTAGCCTTTGCAGGGGCCAGACGGGAGCTGCTGCTGAGCCCCCGCTTCATGCTGCTGAGCGAGGACATGTGTGGGGCTGCAGTAACTCGGCCCCTCTGCGTTTCAGGGTCTTCCCGCTGCCCGCTGCTTGCAGCCTCGCTCCAGAGGAAGTGAACGTGGCAGAGAGCATTGATACCAATCCGTTCTTCTCTCTTCATCTCCCATTGGCTCACTGTCCTGGTGAGGTGACTGTGCCCTGGCAGCAACACAGGGCAGACTGTCCCAGTCCCTGCATCCCCATCACTCGCTGCCAGGAGCTGCTAAGGGTGAAGGTGACTGATGCCTCCTTGATAGCTATTATTGCCCCATTTCACTTCACACAGACACCACCCCAGCTGGAAACCTCGAGAGAATGGCTTTTTCATAGGCAGTTGATGGCATTTTATTATGCAGTAACAGTTGCCTGCATAGAGCCTCACGGGCTCTAATGCAGTGAATCAGGAGGTAACATCCTCTGCTCACGGGTGGCAGGGACGCACGAATGCAAGGCTGGGGCTGCTGCGGGGGGAGAGGAGCCTGGGCTCCTCTCTGCTGAGCTCCGAAATCCCCCAGCTCCCCATCCAGCCCTTGGCCCTGGCTTGCTGGGCACACGTTGCATGTGGGTAAGGAGGTGCCAGGTGTCCCGGAGCTCTTCAATGGCTTGTAAAGGTTCATGGAGGTGGGATCCAGCAGGCTTGACTCCTGTGGGAACCAGGAAACGGAAATGAGTAAATCCCAGTCTGAGAAGCACCCAAGAGCAGATCATTCTTCCGCGCTCTGTCCCTGCAGGAGAGGGGGTCATAGAGGCAACGAGTTTGCAAGGGTCTCAGGACAGAGACTCCTTGCAGCACAGAGGGTGCAAATGCCAACAGCAAGTCTCAGGCTGCCTCCCATGTTTCCCTGCCATGCTTTCTCCCCATGCTCAAGCATGCTCTGAGCAATGCATAGTCTTTTGCAGTTAGTTGTCTCTCTTTCTCCTGAGATATTCCCAAGATGTTGTGGGAGCCTTTATTTTTCACTCTCCATAGGCCATTGTGGCCCTGACAAGTCTCCCAGGATAGGCAACATCCTGGCCGCCGTGCTCCTCCAGCAAACGCAGAGTTATTGCTGCTCCCCGGCCAGCACGCCTCACTCTGCTCCCTGTTTAACAGCCCCCAGCATTAGCTCCCTGCCGGCTGCAAGGGTCTCTGCTCCCACTTCCCGTGGGTTCAGCTCAGCCGGGAAGCACACGGCTGCCCAGAAGCCGAGTG